ACAACACACTTCAGTTGCCTGTTGGTTATACATTGCTAATTTGGCCAATCAGTGTGACTAAGTTATTGGTTAGGGTAGGGTATTATATGTAAAAATTAACTCTAAATTATATACTCCTCCCATTCTCAATATAAATTCTTGAGTTGATTTTGGTCCTAAATATAGAATTCATTTCTCATATTTATCAATTTTCTCTAAATTATCCTATGGATACTCCCTCAACTATAATCAAGTAAAAGAGGGAGGGAGTATTAAAAAAGATAATTATGGTGTTTTAGAAAAAATGTGTCACTTTTTTTATAATTAACTAACCTACCTAACTTTCTTAATCTAATCAAATTAGTTAAATGGATTTTATATTAAAGACCAGATGAGTATTTTATTTAATTGTGAATATGCCTCCCAAGTGCTGTGACGACCTCAGGAATCAATTTTTTTCTTTTTTGGAGACTGTCCAACCCTTTGATCAGACAATACACCTTCTTTCTTTTTTTTCCTGTCCAATTTTCGTTTGGGATAGTTTCCATGAATCTAGTCAATAAGAAAAATTGGTCTTTGCACCCTTGCGTGGATGATGCACTTGCAATCAAAGAAATTCGGTAACCGTGCATTTGGGTGTGTGTTTAAATTAGCGGTGGCAAAATTGATTTTTATTTTATCTGATTCTTGCAAATATGAATTAAGATAAAAGTTAGTTGATTTATGTTTGGATTGAATTTTATAAAAATCAACTTGATAAATTAAAACTTGTTTGGATAAGTAATGAAAAAATAAGTTAAAATATTAAATTGCCTGACTTATAAATTTATTTATAATTTAGTGATATATATAAATATTTTAGATAGATCATATGATATATGATATGATTAAATAATTTATCTAGCTTTCATAACCTTTTCAAATTAGTTTAATGGGTCTTATATTAAGAACCCAAGACAATATATTACATGTACATAATTTGGTAAATTTAAGAAAAATAATTAAATTATTATCGGGAAAAAAAATCATATTATTGGATCAAGATAGGATCTATTTAAATACCCTTAACCCTTATCATTATTTTCATCCTCCTCCTTTCTCTCTCCATGTTAGAAACGGAGAAAGCTAATGATTCTAGCGTTGTACTGTCGTCATTATACCATTTTTCAATAATATAGTTACATTGTTTTTCTCGTGAATGAAAAAGAGGGAATGCACTTTGTTAACTTTATAATTATATTTTCATTCGAAATCAGGGAATGTAACGTAAATTTGATTGTATTGTAAGAATGCACTTTTTTAACTTTATAATTATATTTTCATTCGAAATTAGTGAATGTAACGTAAATTTGATTGTATTGTAATTATAAAATGGATTACAAAACGGGAGACTATGCACTTGTTAGTCTCTCATTCCTTTTACTCTTTGAAAATGTTTAAAATTTCAATATACTTTTTTATTTTTTTCTTTAAATAATTATAATAGTTTTTCACCTGTTCTCTTTTACTTATCCTCTACGTAAAGAAGAGTATTTTTTAAAAAAATTTACATATTTATTATTTTAAACTGATTTTAACAGGCTTCTTAATATATGTATGTAAATTTAGTTATTTGTAATTTATATAAAAGACTGGAGAGTTATTTTGAATATAAAACCAATGAAAGAAAATATATACTGATCCGATTCTTAATATAAGATCTATTTAACTAATTTGATTAGATTAATAAAGTTAGGTAAGTTAATTAATTATAAAAAATATAATATATTTTTTCTAAAACACTGTAATCATTTTTCTTAATATCCTCTCTCTCTTTTTTACCTGATTATAATTAAGGGAGTATCCATAGAAATAATTTAAAAAAAACTGATAAATATGAGAAATAGTTCTTATATTTAGAATTAAAATCAATTTAATAATTAAGTCTTATATTAAGAATCGAAGAAATACTGTATAGTAGACATGGGGTAGAAAAGAAATATTGGCATTTTTTCCTTAAGAAAAGGAAGAAGTAGGAGCCAAGGCAATTACAGGTTGGAACTTGGAAGGAGGTAGGGGCCAGGGTGGGCTGAAAGGACAGTGATGCAAACTAATAATATATGTGCTACTATATTTACACTTTTCTTTTTTAAATTTCGCCAACCGGATTAATTGAAACTTGAAATTTATAAATTATATAATAATTATAATGTTAGCAGAAATACGTAGCAAGGCTGTATAGAAATACTTATTGAATATTTTAATGAAAAAATGGAGAATTGAGTTGGCGGTTTGGATGGAGATAGGCAATGGCAGAGTGGTGGCCACGTGGGGAAGGTGGTTGTCGGGTCGGGCATTGCCCGCCAAACGGAGTTTTGAAACAAAAGTGGAATTCCAGGTATGCCCTTCTTCTGGGAAAGAGAGAGAGCCGCCGATATTTAAATTCAAAACAGACGAAATCGGAGGGAGGGAGGTTCAGTTTCGGGCATGCTAACCTCGTAATTCGCTCCAACATGCCTCCCTCTCTTTCTCTAACAACCCTCCCTCCCTCATTTTTCCTATTATTATTATTTATTGTTTGTTCCAACTTCCAACTATTTACAACCAACCAAATTTCTTAAGTAGAATTACCCTCACCTTTATAATTAAACTATAAATTCATATGACAAAAATAGGATATATATGCATGTGTGATTAGAAAATTTAATACAATAGTAGATATAATAAACTTAACGCAAGTATTTTTTTATTTATATCTTGAATTAGTTAAAAATATATTATAATAATACAAAGCTTTTAACATTAAGGACCACATTGCACTTGGTTTAAGTTTTAGAATGGCACTGAAACATATTTTAGAGACAAAAAAAAAGGACAGAGATAAAAGTGGGGTTGGGATTAAAATCCAGATAATACGATAAAAAATTATCAATGCATCATTAATTTTGCAAGATATTACTTCCGGTCCTAAATATAAGAGCTAATTGACTAATTTGAGTAAATTAAAGAAATAAGCTAAGTTAGTTATTTGTAATAAAGAGGTGTTGTATTTTCTAAAATAACCTTATTAATTAAATGTATTAGCTATAACTACCATTATTAGAAGAACTATATTTAAAAAAAACACATAAATAAGAGAGATAAAGTGAATTGTGGTTTTATATTTAAGATCAAAATAAAAATTAAACGAGGTCTTATATTAAGAATTGAATGCAGTATATTTTGGCCAAATACATATGCACTATGATAAAATTTATAGTAACACATTAGGTTATTTGTAGATTTCCAAATTTTAAATTCTACACGATGTATATGATAGCATGTTTCGTTAATTTTATATGTATTGATATTGTATTTTGGAAAAAGGTTAACAAGTTATTTCAAGTTCAAATTATACTTAAAATAAAAATTTAAAACCCACTAAGGTGCTGCTTACAATTTGACAAGAAAAGTAATAAACTAAAATACTGACAATTAAGCCTTTTTTAAAAGGTTCCCCATAAAAATAAGATATCTGAAATTTCAACGACATGTAATTAAATAATTTATAACAAACCCAAATTACCATATTTAAGCATACTTAAATATAATCCATAAGCTAAATAAATTTGTATGTTGTTGGTTCAAGCTTATATCACTCAATTTTAAAAAACCGATAACGTTTCTCTTTAAAATTAGACCATCCAAAGTTTCAACATGCTCATCAATCATTAAAAAGCAAGTAAAATAATTCAAAAATTTTAAGCTAAACCCAAGTAAGAAATAGACAAAATCATGGGAGAGGGGAACCACTTTTTTTTTAAACCTTTTTCTCAAATCCTAAGTTCTTCAATCTTTGATTTCTCAACCAACTAATATATATCGCTTTTTAAGCTTACTTATGTGGATTTGCATAGTAAAATCAATTTGTATTGTAGTAGCGATGACTTGAGTAAAGTGAACTACTTATCTTCTTACCAAACTCATGAGTTGTTTAAGATATGAACACAAGTGCTAAGCTCACACTAAGGGATGCAGGACACTACGAAATGTACTTAAGAATATTAATTGTGGAGTTAATTTGGCATATTATAATTATAATCTTCTCATTCTTTTGTATTATTGTGGGCGTTTTCAATCAAAATATTCTACTGTCCCCTTGGATTATTGCCATCTTACCTTATCGTCTGAATGGTGTTAAAAAAATCCAGTTTATAAGACCTATTTCTTGATAAATAATACAAAGTTCTTTGCAAAATTTGATAACTGTTAATTTTAACAGTGACAAGTCCTATCTTTCTAAATAATTTAGTTCTTCACATAATGATTAATTATAAAAATATTAAATTAGCTCCTCAATCCTACGTTATATGGTATTTGCATCAGTTACATTTATTAAATTTAAATGGGTTGTCGTTTGCTATTTTTAAAAACTAATAAAAATTATATTAAGCTAACTCCACAATATATTTAATCCAGAAGATTGTGATGATAAAACTGGATAAAATTGATTTGGATTCATTTTTTCTAAATTTTTAAACAAGGACGATTCAAATATTTTAATTTTAATGTAACAAAAAATAGATCAACATATATCAATTTCTTGTTCAACTATTTCCTCACAGAAATTATTAAATATATATCACTTAGTTTTTATTTATATATATTTTTTTGGTTGGGACAAACCAATCAGCCTTGTGGCGTGTAGATTGCAGGCCGAAGCCGGAGGATTCGAGAAGATTTACGGCCACCTCTTCCAAAACTACAAAACGTTTTTTTTTAAAAAAAAAAGAAGAGAAAAATCAACAATATTTTCTTAAAAATATAATTTTGCCCCTAAAAATTTTAAACGCTGGAAGATTCTCATTCTCTCACTTTCCTTTCGTTTTCGCAGTACCAGCCTTAGAAAGAGAGAGAAAGGGTTCGCGTTAAGGAAAAGTAGCAAGCGGCGATTTTTCTTTTTTAAACTAATTTCAAAATTTAAATGGTCAATTGTCAATATAAAAAAGGTCTTTGCTTTATAATTTTCCTCCCTTCTCAACTGTCTCTCCGTGTTCATCTCGCGTGCATAGCAGTCAGACAAAGCGAGAAAGGCAACAAGAGAATCAGGGGCGCACAGCGAGAGGAAGAGATATAGAGAGAGAGAGAGAGGGAGAGGCAGTAGGGAGGAAAAAGCCCCCTTTTGTTAATTGTGCCTTCATTCCACACACGCACCCAACTCCTTAATTCCAGAGAGAGACCTCTTTTCTTCCTTTGATCGCCTGGGTGTTCACGATCTTCATCGCTTTGCTTTTAACTCGCTACCCAGATCTCTCCTGTTTCAGAATCTGATTCCAATCATACCTGTGGATAATCGGCGTTGTGTTTGTTTGATAAGAGGGTGGGACTCGGATTTACATAGTTAAAATAGAAAGGAAGGGGTGCTGTTATATTTGGGTTTGGTTTTTGCTGAGATTGTGTTGAGGGAAATGGTGCTTGCCTCAATGGTGTTGTGTTGAAGTATTATGGATGTTGTCATTACACGCTTACAAAGAGCAAAATAACATGTCGCTTTACATTAATCGCGAGGCCTCAAAGGTTGGTTTCCAAGTTTTTGACCCTTTGCTGCTACTCGTTATTCATCTACCCTCGTCCCCCCCCCCCCCGGTCCCCAATTAATCCCTGCCTGACTGTTTGGTTCTGATGCATAGCTATGGAAGAGAATTTGCGCGGAGACAACCACAGAGATCAACCTTCTTGCAGAGAATTGGAAATACATTCTCGGCGGTCTCATTTGTCAGGTTTCCTCATTTTGATCATGAATCAGTCCACAAAATAGATATGAGCTCTTATCGTTGAGAAAATAATGTGAAAGTTTTTTCTTCTTTTGCTTTACCTTGGGGAGAGGAAATTTTGAAGGTATTGGTCATAAGGAGTTCACTTCTCTTGAGCGCTTGAAAAGTGTTCTGCATGTTTGGGAACCACGTTTATATGTCTGAGTTTAATCATCAAATGTGATTTTGTTAATGATTATTATCATCAATTTGTTGGAGTTCTGAAATTCTGATATTTAATGAGGCAAGTCAAGAAACTGGTCACTATTGACTGCATCTTTTGTCATATTCTGTAGTCTGTAATTCTGGGAGTCTGGCATTCAATGCATGCGCAGCATTGAATCAATAATTGCCTCCCAAATGAATTGTTGCATTAATCAAGGATTCTCCATTTATTTACGCCACTAGAGCTGTGAATATACTGAAATCTATGTGGAACTCTCAAGCTATTTCTCCCACTGGATAATTTCATTCTTCTCATTGGAAGCCTTTTAATTGTTTACAGCTCAAGTACAACGCAGCATTATTTTATCAAAATGCCTTTCTGTGTTTGAGAAAAGGGAAGAAATAAGAATGGCTGCATCTGTAAAGCATATTTCTGTCTTGAAGTTTTATATCCTTGACCCTTGTGCATAAGATGCTACAGTATATATTGAATTTGCTCGGAAATTGACATGCTCTGATTATTTGATTTTAATTAATAACTAAATTGGAACTGTTTCTCAACAGTACTTGCATGGTCTAGCTGCCCGAGGAGTTCACTATTTTCATAAGCCTGGCCCTACTCTTCAGGATGTTGGATTCTTCCTTCTACCGGTTTGTATATATCTCTTCCTCTTCATGTAATGGCTTTGTCAATTCGCCCTTTTATTATGAATGCATTTTTAATTTTATTGTTGCTGTTATAGGAGCTTGGGCAAGACAAAGCCTACATCAGCGAAACATTATTCACCTTCATTTTTTTATCCTTCGTCCTGGTAAAGATTCTTTCGTTTCTAATTTTTCTGCATTCTGTTAACAGTTACTTTTATTTTATGAAAACTTATTATTTTGTCAATCATCATTATCAAAATCAATCATTAATATTTGGGAAAAATGGCTCCTGCCAGGGGTTCTATTTTGCCTAGATATGGCATTTTATTCTATAACATAAATTACGTAATATATTCTTGCTTGAATTTCTTAGTTTTGGGCTCAAAAAAAATGTATGAGCTAAACTTGGTTTCAGCAGTCATGTCTACTCGTGATTATCTGGTGAGACCGACATGCTTCTCTGTTTAATTGAAGCTCCATATAGCTAAGTTTTATTTGTATGACTCGATAAATCACAGTTTCAAATCTTTTTGCTGAAAATCCATTTAGTGTATTTATGTTAGTTTTTAGTCGTGAGTTAGAGTTATGGATGGCATTCCTTTTTTATTAAATAAAAAAGGAGAATTGCAAACTGAAAATTGATTTCTAGTTTTGAGATTTCTAGTATCCTTCTATTTTAGAGTGATTGCTTATCCAATAGAAGACATTTTGCTCACTTTCCTTTCTGAGTCTTTTCCTGATTCGTAAGTTCTGCGGTTGTTCCTCTTGAGTGTTTTTGTGATTTGTCAAGTTCTACCGAGTTTTTACCATTAATGTTTATACTTCATTTTGACGGTATGTGCTATTTTTCATGCTTTTGCAGTGGACATTTCATCCTTTCATTTTGAAGAGCAAGAAGATCTATACAGTTCTAATATGGTGCAGGGTTCTAGCATTCTTAGTTGTAAGTGATGAACACATCATTGTCTTATTATTATCTTGTTTGAATCTTAAGGACCTACTTTACTGGTCGTTTTGATTGTTTACTCCCGCCTCCCCTCACCTGTACTTGTTCTTTCCTTGTGTGATCTTAAGTATTTGACAAAAGGCTGGTATTTCTTTATCAATATTAAGCAATAAACAAGCATGTTCATACCTTGTTATCCGGGAAATGGTTCTCTGGGAATAGGTCCATTACCCTTGATTATTAATTAATGGCAATTGTTTACTGCAGGCTTCTCAATTTCTTCGTATTATCACATTTTATTCAACACAGCTTCCGGGTCCAAATTACCATTGCCGAGAGGTACAATTGTTTGAAAATATGTTTTTCTCAATTTCATGTCTCATGCAGTATTGAAAAATAATCTTACAGTTCGGCACTATCACTATCATGCTCAGGGCTCAAGACTTGCCACGCTGCCTTCTCCAAAGAGTGTCTTAGAAGTTCTCTTGATTAATTGTAAGTAGGCATATTTTTTCTTATATTGGAGTCATTTAGCTATAATGCTTTTTTGTTGTTCTTGTACTCATTTGATTTTGCGTGTGCAGTTCCCCACGGTGTGATATATGGATGTGGTGATTTGATATTCTCATCACACATGATCTTTACTCTAGTCTTTGTGCTGACGTATCAGAGATATGGCACAAGAAGGTACCCTGGCCTAGAGTAAACGCTTTTGCATGAGCGTGACTGTCTTTGTCAAAAACGAATCTTAGCTTCTAATTAAGTATTCTGGCTGAGTGCTTTTATTTTTATTTATGGAGCATCAATTTGGTTGTCTAACTTTCTGTTATTTGCAAGTTTTGATTTTCTGTGTTTATTGATGAACCATTGCAGGTGTATTAAGCAGCTAGGTTTCGTCCTTGCTATGATTCAGAGTCTCTTGATAATAGCATCTCGCAAACATTACACCGTTGATGTAGTTGTTGCCTGGTAAGAGTATGCTCTGATTTTCAATTGTTGAATCTGTTCAATTGCCATTTCCCTTTTAAGTTATTTCTATTATCTGCGGCAGGTACACTGTTAATTTGGTGGTATTTTTTGTTGAGAAGAAATTGCCAGGTTAGTACATTTGAGCTTGATGTTATTGTTGCGATTATAAATGTGCTGGTCCCAGAAATTTGTATACTTTTTGAATGCAGTTCCTCATTATCGATCCTTCTCATTCTAATCTAGTACTTTTGTCGTGCTGAAACCGCGCATTGTTAGTCAAATTAGTGAGAGGTCACATTGAAAAAGCCTTTATCTGTTTAGATGCTAAAGGCCTTTATCTGTTTAGATGCTAAAATAATATCGGCCGAAATACTGAAGTTTTGATTTATGTCAACCTAGTTGAGAAGCATTTGTGCTGTCCAGAACACCCAATTTTGCTGGACTGTAAAAAGATGTTCAATTGTCATGTTCTTATTAGACTCGAATAGCATACGCATAAAATCAATACCTAAGTTTTGCCGTAGGATATAACACTTTTTGTTAATTTAGTTGAGAAACAATGTGCTGACTTTGATGTCTTGCAGAGTTACCGGACCGGTCCAACGCTGCAGCAGCCCTGTTGCTTCCATTGAGCAACAAAGACAGAGATGTCCGGACCAAGGAAGAGAACCACAAGCTATTGAATGGGAATTCTGTGGATCCTGCAGACAGGGTATAGTGAAGAATCTACTTGTCCTTTCCCTATATCCATTTTCGTTGTAGTGTCTTTGTATGACATAACAGAGTTATTACTGTTGTTTACCTCAGAGGCAGAGAACTCAATTAAATGGCAAGATTCTGGAGGATGTTAATACACACCTTGCTGACTCTGCGATGAATGGTGCATAATAGGATAATAGGGAGCCTTCTGCTTTCAGAAATGGGTTCTACGGCAAGACTTTGCTGTAGGAAAAGCTACAACCTTGTTCGATTGAGGATTTAGTTAATTGTGAGATGTCCTGTTTTAATTCAAATCAGTAGGGCTAATTTGTATTAGTGAAATTTTAATTGGGTTGTGCTTTTTACCCATCGTGTTCCCCAGTTAAATTATTTATAGCATCAGCATGTGCCATAGGAATTTTCCCCCAAATCCTCTCTGTCTCCTCCATAATGTTTTTGTGGCCCCATGTGCCTAGTCTGCTCTTCATTTTCTACTTTTGGTTCTTTTTGCCTTTTGCAGTCACATGGGGAACTAATGATGAGGACAATGTAATAGGGCTTTTAATGTAAAGAGCAATTTCTTTTCCTAGACTGGCTATGCTAAAACTGGTCCTGTGAACATTTCTCCGAAGGGAATCTGAATCCTTCGCACCTAACAAGTAATATTTGGAGAGAGAAAAGAAACAGTGAGTCAAAAGAGAGGTACTCATTTTCAAGCGAAAAGATCTCAACTCAACCCTCTTGATAGGTTGATGAGGCGAATGAAAAATGATATATCTTGTAGGTTAAATCTAACATTATGCTAACTAAAGCCTATTTATTAGTTTAATACTGTCGATTCAAATAAAATAGGGGATTAATTGGAGATGGACCAGATAACATGGAAAGACGTTTTAAATGGTTTATCCGAGAAGGGATTTACCTATATCTTAGAGCCGAGAACGAGAATTTCTTCTAAGCTTTGTAAAGCCAGACTTGAATATGCCACCTAAGAATTCTTGAATGATTTTAAAAGTGTTGGGTGTAATAACTGGAGGGTAAAACAATGAAAGCAAAACATGCGGATCACAGTGAAATGGCATAGTGAAGTGTGAGATGAATTGATGTTTTGGGGGGAAGGAAGGGAATGATGGAGGTGAAAGTGACAGGAGAGAAAGGGGAGGACAGTGCTTTAAAGGGCATAATTATAAGAGAGGTCTTTTGATGGTATGGGGAGTGAAGGGAGTCAAGTTTTGAGTTGGGAAAATCACAATCACATGCATGTTTCTGCCGTGCTGCTCTCTGGGGAAGTCACATGGGGTCACCAGGACAACCCAACCCAACCCCTATTTTACGTTACTCTGCTTTTCCATGCAAGAAGAAGGAACAAGACGGTATCATTTCAATATTTCATAGACCCACTGACACCCACACTTTCATTCCTATGATTCATTTTGCTTTCCCTTTTTGTTGCCGTCCCTTTTGTTTCCCATCTCCTCATTATGTTTCATCATTTCTCACCTCTCTATCATGTCATGCTCTACCCTCCCCTAACCTCCCCTGGGGTTAATCACAACTTGAGGGTAAGCACTAAAGACTTGAAATTACAAATGGGATCAAAAACTCCTACTTGTAAAGAGCATTTATGTCATTAGGTTACCAAGTCATTTACTTCATAAATAACAATTGGCATAAGAATAAGGCATGCCTCTACTAATCAGATTCATAAAAAGAGTTTACATAATTCCTTCTTATCAATATCAATATTCAATATTATAATAAAATCTACAACAAATTATACTTTATTAGCTCTAAAGTATAACTCATTTTTCAAATTTTGCGTGTCATAAATAAACATGCTTAGATTTGGAGCAAGCCGCATGTTAACAAGTCATAAATAACGTAATTTATAAAAGAAAATAGTTTGGATAGTGAAATTACTTGTACGGACGTTAGAATTGCGGAAGGAAGTTTTCTGAAAAAGGGCAGAACTGAAGCTTCATTTTCTCCTATCAGGGGGCATGAGGTCCCAGAAAATTATGTGTATCTCGGAAGTGTTATTATATTTGTAGGATGAAGCGAGAATGAATTATGTTGTGTCATCATGCAGTCGCCTATAAAATGCGTTATATAATAATTAAAATGTTCGTGCGTTAATCAAATTTCTCCGCGAGCATGATTATTGTCTTTTTTAGGAAAATGTACGTATGGATTTTTTTTTTCAGGGGTGAAACGTGGGCATAGGTTTTAAAGCCAACCAATCTATAAGTCCTAGGATATAAAGAAATACCTAGCTCGGCCCATTCCAAGCACGACTAGTTGGAACTTGGAACCTTGTGGACTAATCTATAATATGATCCCACGGCTGAACCCATGGAAATTGAAGTTTACATCTATTGATACTTCCACTTTAGTTTACTCTCACTATGAATCTTTTTGTTCACAAGACTCAAAATTTAGGAAGAAAATCAAACATCATAGTTTTCTTCACACTGTTGTTAGGCCTAGGGAGAATCCAATGTAGAATCCAATTTGGGTTAACAACAATAAAATACAGACAAGTGCTTAAAACCTAAAAATAGTAAGTTGCAAGTCATATTTATATAACTCCTTTTAAGTCAAATCCACTTATCCTAGATGTTCTAGCAAGTAAAATAGGAAAAAAAAAAAACAAGTTGAAATTGATGATGAATTAAAATGAGGGAAAATTACTGTAGAGTCCCACAGAAGACAATTTACTACCAGAAGGTCCCATGAAATCCCCAAATTCCTATGAGGTCCCAAGGGACCTTATAGCAAAAAATTTGAAACTTGCAATTACTTTCTTACCCTTTTTGATTAGAGAAAGTAACCGAAGCACACTCAAAATCGTTTCGGTTTTCATCTTCGCGGAATCGGCCGCGCGCTCACACTCCGTCGCCCGCTCACACTCCGCCGCCGTGTCGTTGGTGCTTTATCCTTGTGTGCTCCGACAGGTTCAATCTCCGGCGAGGTCTGTTAGTTTCTGGTTGGTACATTGTCGGTCGGTGCTCCGCATTCGGTCACTCTCTGGTCCAACGCCTTCAATCCCCTGCGCGGTCCATCGGTCTCGGGTCTGCACGCCGTCAGTCTGTCGTCCGCAGTCCGTCGGTCTCTCGTCCGCCCGCCGTCGCCGTCTTCTCTGACGCATTGAACGGTTTCAATCTCCAGCACGGTCCGGCCGACTCTGGTCAGCACTCCATCCCTCTCTGGTCCGCACTCAGTTGCCGTCTGCTCCGACGCCGTGAACTCTCTGGTACAGTCCGGTGGTCTCTCTACTAACGCCTCAATCTCCAGACAACTAGTCTCTCTCGGTTAGAATATTTGACAATTTGAAGCTTCTTGGTCATATTTTGAAAAATGTTTGGTTTGGAATGTTTGAACATTTGAATTGTTGATTGTTCGTAAAAGCTGCTCGATGACCTGAAGTGGTTTGGAATGTTCGGTTGTTTCGTGTGTTTATATATGGAACCAGTGATAACCGTGACTTGTATTTTCACTGTGATATTAGAAATGTGATGTATGTGGATATTACAATGATCTGACATGCGAATAAAAGTTAGGGGCAAAAGTTGGGGCTGGTTGGTACAAAGTTATATTAGAGATCAGTTTGAAGAACACTGGTTAAAATTGTCAAAAATTTGATTTGGTAGAGCTTTTTAAACGCAGCAATCAGTTATTGTTAATATTGCTGAATTAAAAGGGAGAACTTTATGTAATTGATTTGTTCGGCAATAAAATAATAAAGGTTTTGTTTGGCTTTTTATGGTGGGCTCCATGGTGGAATGTTAATTTGGCCATAAGGTCAGAAAGGGAATTGCTTGTTGGATATAGCACCTATTGGCTCTATACTATAACCAATGAAGGGAAATTCATTCTGGTGGATTGATTTGTGATCCATATTATTTACTGCCGTTCATTGCTTTCTGTCATCCAAAGGGATATATTTTGATTTTGTTGATTAGTGAATAATTTGGTGGTGTTGAAGATACTTACTATTTTAAAATATATGTTGATGATAGTAATTTTTTTCCTTTTTGCAGTCGAACAAAATGACTAAAAAGAGTAAGAGTAAAGATGGACAAAGGGCTAGGAATTTCTCCGGATACATATTATTCACTGAAGAGTTTTATGAGCAGAACAAGAAGAAGTTTAAGTCTTTTGAAGAGGGCACTAACTCTGTGAAAAAGGCTTGGGGGAACTTAACAGAAGAGGAGAAAGAACAATATGGTGAAAGGGCTAAAGAAATGAGAGTCCCACCAAAAGGGAAGAATTATATTGTTCCCTTTCACACACGCTGTGCTCCGGGACAATTTATGGAAGTCTGCAAGCAATTAAAGAAAAGTAAAGAGAAGATGGAAAGACTGAAAAGAATAGGTTTTGATAAATTGGTTGACATATGCTGCTCACAGATCTATAGAGATTTTTGTGGTGAATTGATCCGTGTGTTTGACCCTGTAAGTAGGCAAATTTCAATTCGAGGGAAGACGCATTTAGTGGGGCCCGAAGATGTAAATGAATTGATGGGTCTACCATTTAAGGGGGAAGATATTAAAATAAATGTGGAGAATGAAGATGAAACGTTCAAGAAATTAAGGAGTGACTACGGGAAAGTGCCATACAAAACAATAGGAACATGGTTGATTGAAGGAAAAGAGGAAGAAAAGTTTGAATTCCTTTTTGTTATGTATGCACTAGGAGTCCTCTTGTGTCCTGGCTCTAGTGTATGGGTGAGTGATAAAGTGTTGAAAGTCATGGTGGTGACAAAGGATAGTTTAGGACACTATGATTGGAGCAGCTTAGTTTTGAAAGAATTCTGCAACTCAATTGCAGAGTTCAAGAAAGGAAAGAAGAAAGGAAAAGCTGATGGGACGAAAAATGTGGGAGGTTGCATGTACTTCCTAATGGTAAGTGTGGGTATGATTCATTTACTTTGATGTTAGTTTATTGTCAATGTGCTGTGTAGGTTGTGATTGGTTGCTCTGTATGTTGTTATTTACTACTCTGTTGTCAATGTGCTGTGTAGGTTGTTATTTACTATGCTGTCAACTGCTTATGTATAGGTTGTGATTTGCTGGTGTCAAGGTTGTTATAGTACTGTGTGCAGGTTGTTAATGGATTGTGTTGGTTTGTCACCTGGTTATGTATAGGTTGTAATTGCCTTTGTTCGTGTTGTCATTCGGTTTATCGTGGGTTGTCAATGGCTGCTGTGCATGTTGTGAATGACACAACTGTAGGTTGTGATTAGCTGATGTGTAGGTTGTGACTGTATGTTGTGGAGTTGTTATTTTCCTGTGTTCAGGTTGTCATTAGGATGTGTTGGTTTGTCACCTGGTTATGTATAGGTTGTAATTGCATTCTGTTCGTGTTGTCATTCTGTTGAGTATGGGTTGTCACTGGATGCTGTACATGTTGTGAATGGCGCAAATGTATGTTGTGACAGGGTTATGTGTAGGTTGTGATTGGTCACTGTGTATGTTGTTATTTACTACTTGATGTCGTCAGTTGGAGAAATGTACGCTGTGAACTGGTTATGGATATGTTGTGACTGTGAAGTGTAGAGGTTGTTATTGTCTTGTGTGCAGGTTGTCA